CCCCCCCCCCCCATTTATTTTTCACTTTATTAAATAATGTTTTGGGAAGTCACCGATTTGTCCAACAATAAACAGAGTAAATATCTTGGTGATCATAAATATCTCTGTGATCTTGCAATGCTGTATTTACATCCGATGTTGCTCTCTCTCCTCTCGTACTCACAGCATTGCAGTTAGAAGATTGATAATACCTTCAAGAAGGGGGGAGTGAATGGTTCAGGTGCCCGCAGTGTCAGAGCCACTGCATTAATGTAAATGAATTGCCTTTACTATACAATAAAGCCTGCCTCTCCGCTCTCATTAGAAACAAGCAGCCACTGCAAAGCCATTTGTGTTTGGCCAGCCCCTTCCGATTTACAGTCTAGCTAGTAATTATCAGTCCGCATTGTGTGAGGTTTGTGTTTTTATAGACAGCCTTTTACCGGGTGATTTCCTTGGGTTCCCTGCACGGCAGCCTGTGATTATCCTCTTAGTCTCCTGGCATTTCTGACAGATCACAAGCTATTTTATAGCATTTGTTAACCTTTCCTTTCCCAGCTTGACACTGCACAGTGGGGTGCTGTTAGCGGCAAAGAGAAGAGTAGTGACAGTCATTAAGAAGGCTGACAGTCATTACAAAAAAGCCTAGACTAGAGTGTCAGGATATGCTGTAGCAGTATAAACCACCTTGTAGAGTATCACCACAGGCTGTGCCGTCACATTCGTCCCCAACTTGGCCTTTTCTTATGTTGTGGCCCCAATTGTCAGTGTGAAATTCCTAAGAACCTCTGCTGTCCGTTGGCATTTGCTTGTGTTTTACTGCTTGTGTAGTTTAGCTATCTTAATATTTTGGAAGTGCGCGGTGAGCAAATTAATTTAATATTCAACAATTCTGATTTAATAAACAGGGGGAAGATCAATCTGCTAATAACAATACAAATAAAAAATGGCTTCCTAGAATTTTCTACAGCAATTACCTGCATTTTTAGGGAAAAAAACATTTGGTTTCTCAAAAAAAAAAAAACTACAAAGATGCTGTATGTTATGTCAGACACATTTGACATTAACCACTACTGGCATGTTACACCCCTTTCATTAGCAGGCCATTTTTCAGCGCTGTCACGTTTAATTCCTCCGTCACCGCAACACTGTAACAAAATTAGTATATTAGTAATTTATATAATTTTTCAGGATACATAGAGCTTTCTTTTAGGGGTATTTATTAACTGTTTTTTTTTAAAAAATTGTTTAGTATATAAAGTAATAAAAAAAGCCTGTTTCGCTTACTTTTGTTTATAAGCCATAGCAAAGATGTCAGGACAGTACTAAAACCCCCAAAAAGGATCCCTTTTTGTAAAGTAGACAAGGTGATCTAATTTTTTGCCACAATTTTTTGGAAATGAAGAAACATTCCAACATTGAAGAGGTTAAAACATAGAGCTTGGTAATAGTCTACAAGATACAAAAAAAATTCCCGGTCCGTGGGAGAATGGAGATGGGGTTAATTTATTTATTACACGTGTATTATACACAGCACTTTACATAGTTGCACATTCACATCATCAGCATAGATGTGCAGGATAAGGGAAGTGAAAGGGTTAATATACAGGTCAGAGCACACACAGAATGCAGATAACATGAGCAGGAGAGAAGGGGAGTTAAAAAGGGTTACAATTATTTTACTTTTTTTTTTTGCTGCTGCAGCAGTAATCAGTGGACAACT